CAGAGTAATAGTATAAACATGATGATAAAACAATTTCTTGGCTCAGTTTCTGGCTTAACATCTCTTTCCTCCACCATTTCATAATATCAAACTCATATAGCTATTGTAACTTTTTCATTCACACAAGCTAAGTTTCAGTAGAAAAATAAACTAAATGTTAAAAAGAAACCCTATTGGAAAATACAGTGAACAAATGCAAAAGACAAGTGGCAATGCAAAGAAAATATTCACAACAATGATAAAGAGCTAATTTCCATAATATGCCGAGAATATCTACAAATCAAAAAGAAGAATATTAAAATCCTTATAGGAGAGTGGGCAAAATCTATCCACAGGAAGATCATAGGAAAGAAAATACAAGTGCTCAACCTCATTCATAATTGAATAAATGAAAATTAAAACTATTTTTAACCTATCAAATTGGGAAAAGCCAAAGATTAAAAATATTGAGTGTCATTATGTATATAGAGAAATATGTACTCACACATTTATTGTGAGTGCATAAATAGAGCAATCTTATTTGGAAGACAATTTGGCTACCCCTATTAAATATGAAATGTATGTACCCTTTAGCCCCATAATTTTACTTCTAGGAATTCATTTTACATATATTTACTACAATATTGTTTATAGTAATAAAATGGAAATAGCCTAAAGATTCATCAGTAGGCAACTGAACAAATTACATGCCGACATATGGGGAAATACTCTGAAATTATTATGAAGAATGTAGTAGCTCTGTTGGGCTCATAGAGAAGATATTCTAGAGTATGATTTTTCTTATGTTAAAAGTTGTACAGCAGTACAACTGTATGTTCAGCGTAATCACATTATGTTATCTTAAAATTGCATATATATACTTATAAAAATACCTGAAAGGACACAGGTGAACATTGATTAGTTACAGTTTCCAGGGAGTGAGACTTGAGGTAGGGGAAAAAATACAGGGAGTGACACTTTTCACTTTTCACAAGCTATTTAAAAATAGCTTGACGATGTTTTTTACAATGAGAAAATACTGCTTTTATAACAAAAAAAGAAAAGAAAGGAAGGGAGGGGAAGGGAAAGAGGAAGGGAAGGAGGAAGGGAGAGAGGGAAGGGAAGAAAACCTTTGAAAACAGTCTATTCACAGGGCCTGGGCATTTCTCCCTCAAAGGTATGAATATCATTCTTGACCTATAGGTCAAGTGCCCCCACAGCTGTGTTTGACATACCTTCTTTTCTCTTGCTCACTTCTGGCAATCCTCTACTCCTTTTAAAACAAAAGGAAAGAGTGAAGTCAGGAAACGTAAGAGAGGCTGGTTAAGGACATTGGAGAGAACAATATTCTCAAATCACATATAAAGGATGTGTATAAAACTGGTAAGACCAACGTAACAGATTTGATGCTTACATTTTATAATGGCTGAAATCAGAATCAAAATTACCTTCCCCCTTTAGGGTTGGCAAATGACTGAAAGCCTAGGTGTATTCCCAATTCTTAGCTATAACCAGATATCCTATTATATTGGAGATACTGAGAATGTCGTATGTTTACATCCACATCATGAGAACAATCTAGTGGAGCTAAAATTGTCCATCATGCTCTTTCATCATGTTCCTAGGCACCCCAAAGTCCAGCTCCCTTCCCCCAGTGTCCTACCACCCGTTATGGTACGGCTTATTCACCGCTGGTTTCACGATCAATATTGTCTGTGTGCTCACCATGAAAAACGTACTTCTCTCTGTACTCCACTGACTGTACTTCTAAGATACCTCATGTGGAAGCTAAATACATGTCAAAGTTCTTCAGCCTTTTAAGATATGGCAAAAATAAGAACTCAAAATATCTGTCATTTAAAATAAATTGTGACTATTCTCTGTTATATTTTCTCTTGATAGTACTTTTTTTTGTTTGTTTGTTTTTTAGAGGAGTCTCGCTGTGTCGCCCAGGCTGGAGTGCAGTGGCACCATCTCGGCTCACTGCAAGCTCTGCCTCCCGGGTTCATGCCATTCTCCTGCCTCAGCCTCCTGAGTAGCTGGGACCACAGGCGCACACCACCACGCCCGGCTAATTTTTTGTATTTTTAGTAGAGATGGGGTTTCACCATATTAGCCAGGATGGTCTCGATCTCCTGACCTCGTGATCCACCCGTCTTGGCCTCCCAAAATGTTGGGATTACAGGCGTGAGCCACCACGTCTGGCCGACAGTACTTTTTATTAAGCCCTTTCTCTACTGTATTTGCTTGTGCATCTGTAATGCTCAGGGCACTGTAGGGGTAGCAAGATAAACAAGGTATAGCTGTATACTTGAAGAGCTTAGTCTTACAAATAAGTTAATAATAACTAGTGTTGATTGAGTGCTATTCTAAACAATGTACAAAAAATAACTGATTTAGTCCTTATGACAACCCTTAAGGGGATACCTTTATTACTCCCATTTACCAGTGAGAAAATGAAGCACAAAGAGGCAGAAGGTCAGACCACTAGTAAATAGCAGACTCAAGAAGTATGCATTCAGCCCATGCCTCAGCCACTGTGCTTTACAGCCTCTCTGTATGCAAAGAGCTGCGTTATAAAGCAGCAAGTGGTTTTTTTTTTTTTCTAATTTTTATTTTAGATTCAGGAGGTGCATGTACAAGTGTGTTACAAGGGTATATTGCATGATGCTGAGGTTTGGTCTTCTATTGATCCCATCACCCCAGATAATGAACACAGTGCTCCATAGGAAGATTTTCAGCCCTTGCCTCCTTTTGGAGTCCCTAGTGTCTATTATTTCTGTCTTTATGTTTGTGTGCACCCAAGATTTAGCTCCCACTTATAAGTGAGAACTTGTGATATTTGGTTTTCCGTTTTTATGTTAATTTGCTTAAGATAATGACTCCAACTTCAACTATATCTGTGTTGCTACAAAGGACATGATGATTTTATTCTTTTTTATGGCTGCATAGTATTCCATGGTGTATATGTATCACATTTTCTTTATCCAGTCCACCACTCATGAGCACCTGGGTTGATTCCATGTATTTGCTATTGTGAATAGGGCAAAGCAGTAGATGCTAAGTGCCCTTTAGTAACACAAAGTGCTACAGGAATTCAGACAATGAGCATCACTTAGCTCATTGCTTTCATCTTGCAGATAGGAAACCCACTTGTAAAAAATCACAGTCACATGTTCTGACTAAATTCATTATGTGAATTACCTTGGTAGAGCTTTTATCTGAACCTGAACTCTACACTCCTAGTCTGTTCTTCATTGCCCAGCCTTGTGTCACTACCTTAGTTTACTTTTTATTCCTAATTTTCCCCCTTAAGACCATTTTTTTTTCTATTGTGTCCTGAAGGGTAATTAAGAAAATATTGAGACAATTTGGGACATAACACATACCTGCTATCCAGAGATTTCCATCTTTAACCATATTACCACTAATCTCACCCTGCTTGACCTTCACTAAAGTGTTACTTAATTTTTGGTTCATTAGGGTTTGATAATTGGGAAAAATAAGCTGAAAATACCAGCATGCTATTCACTCTGCAGGAAAGACATAGCTAAGCCAATGTTGTGCTTGGTTCCATAAACAAGTGCTTATGCTAAATTTCCTGGAGGGTTTGTGGTGTTGTCTACTTGAAGCTTTGCTGATAGTATTAAGCCAGCAGTCTAATTGCCATACACAGTGGTAGAATGGCCTGGGGAGTATGTGCTTAAAAGCCGAATTTATGTACTCAGAAACACACTAATTAGGAACTTTCTAGAAAATGTACAGTAGTTGCTCTTGGTTGGCCTTTTTACAAACTATTGAGAATCCAGAGGAACCAACCCTTAGAGTCTGTGCTTCAAGGGATATTGCTTTGCATTTTCCCCAGTGAGTACATTCTTATGAGAAGGCCACTTTGCCAGGGTATGGGCGCTGACATATAACCAAGTGATGTTGATGTTTCATGAAAAGTGGGTGAGTTCCTACATGCCTCTCACCAGCCAGCTACCAGCTGCCAAACTCCTACCTCCCAATATTTGCCACAAGTGAAGTTGCTCTTGAAATCTAGCTTGATCCTAGGAAGCTAGGGTCTAGAGACCTAACTTGAGGATTTGAGGTCTTCCCTTAATGCTGTTTCTAAGGAAGGAACAAAATGAAGGCAGAGCAGAGCTGTTCAAACTCATGGGGTCCTCTGAGGGTATCTGACCAAAGGCTAGCTTGCTTAGCAACTCCAGAAATATGATATTACCATTAAATTTATCTCCCAGTTTGGGAAAGAATAACCAAATTGGTAGGAAACCTGCCAACTATACTGAAATGGTTTTGATGACTTTTTTGGAAGATATGTAGATATCGTCATAGATGTAGATATAATTTATATCTATACCTTCACCAGAGAGAGAAAGAAGAATCAGTCCAATCGATACTATTATGCATGTTGAGTAACATGTTAGCTTTGCTTCAATTCCTCTTTTAAAAAGAAAAGAAAAGAAACTGGGTAGATTAGCCTCTAAATGGATAGTTCTTTTAAGTCAAAAGTAGGTAAACACTTCAAACTGGAACACTTATTTCTCCAGAAATCAGGAAAATGTTATTAAAATCAGGGAAGAAAAGAATTCAATTCCTATCCTCTCCTGGAAAACACAGAATTGGAAGATTCATAATTATCATTATAATTAATGTAACAACAACTAAGATTTCTTGAGGTTTTACTAAGTTCTAAGCATCAGTACAAGCACTTAACAGATGTTAACTCATTTGACCCTTTCCCCACCACAGCAGCTATCTAGATTGGAAAAGAATAAAGAATGATACTTCCTCCAGCAAAGGGCTATGGTTTTTAAGGACCTGTCCAGTTGAAGGAGTGATGAGACAAGATACAACTGGTGCAGAAGGGCTGGGTGATGCTCTACATAGGTTTCACTGTGCGACTTGAGTTGCCATCACATATATAAATTTATATAAATTGGGTAATCCATCTGCTTTAATAAAATGTGTATGCAACCATAGGGTGTAGAAATTTCAAAGATTTTATTTTTTGACAGGATGCCTGCCGTTTTTCTCTCTTGACTCCCGCTTGTTTTATTCATTTTGGGGTAGTTGCCAATTAGACTCAGTTGGTAAGTATAATTAACGGAAAATGTGAATTTCTTCTTAAACTCCAAGAAATTAACTACAGAGGTCTTCATTGCCTTTATAATTTCCTAACAATATCACTCCCTACGACTGTTGTTTTATCTCTATCTCTTCTGACATTCAACCACATCAGAAATTAGTTACTCCCTATTATTTATCATCCTAAAGATACCATATAGGACAGCTTGGCAGCACTACTAGGAGGGAATAAGCATTTATTTAGGTTCCAAGTACTATGCTAGGCATTTTCGTATATACTATCTCTTTTAATACTCACAAAAACCCTTCAAGATAGGGATTATTATCTTCCTTTTATACAGTTGAATAAATGGCACCTCCAAGAGGTTAAGCCCTTGCCTTAAATCCGATTAGTGGGACAGCTGGGTGCAAACCTAGGCTGACATAATTCCAAAGCACTTTCTCCTTTCATCCTATACATGGAAGCATTATCTCATTAAAAAGAAAGGCTCCCCTAAAGTTTTGTTACCTTGGAGAGTTTGAGGGTCATTATTTCATTCAGCAACTGTTCTGAGCACCAACTCTGTGCCAAATACAGGTTGAGCATTGATTCAGTTGGAATGGGTCATCAAGCAAAACTTTGGGAAGAAGATGGTGGTTAGTTGCAAGATGGTGGAGAAACAACATTAGGAAGAAATATACAAGGTGATGGAGAGGAGTGTGGGGATGGAGGCAAGCAGAGGACCTCCTGATCATGTACCCATAGGACAGGGTGATGGAGAGGAGTGTGGGGATGGAGGCAAGCAGAGGACCTCCTGATCGTGTACCCATACGTCAGGGTGATGGAGAGGAGGGTAGTGGTAGAGGCAAGCAGAGGACCTCCTGATCATGTACCCATAGGATAGGGTGATGGAGAGGAGCGTGGGGATGGAGGCAAGCAGAGGACCTCCTGATCGTGTACCCATAGGACAGGGTGATGGAGAGGAGTGTGGGGATGGAGGCAAGCAGAGGACCTCCTGATCGTGTACCCATAGGATAGGGTGATGGAGAGGAGGGTGGGGGTAGAGAGGACCTCCTGATCATGTACCCATAGGATAGGGTGATGGAGAGGAGTGTGGGGATGGAGGCAAGCAGAGGACCTCCTGATCGTGTACCCATAGGATAGGGTGATGGAGAGGAGGGTGGGGGTAGAGGCAAGCAGAGGACCTCCTGATCATGTACCCATAGGATAGGGTGATGGAGAGGAGTGTGGGGATGGAGGCAAGCAGAGGACCTCCTGATCGTGTACCCATGGCTACAGTCTTTCTTCATGTGACTCGTGGACTTCCCTTTGTCATCCTATGCCTGAGAATATATGAAGGAGGCTGGGAAGGCAAAGGGACGTTCAATTGTCATCACCGGCATCTTTTTTGATCATTGCACCATCATCAAATGCATTGGGATAACCATGACATGAAAATTTCCATCATTGGGCCCATAACTGTCCCATGAGAGAGATTAGAAACACTGGATGTTAAAGGTCATAGTAGAACTTCATCCAGGGAGTTCTTGAATTAGGAAGGAGTGAAATATACTCTCAAAGACTAATAGTTCTGGGTCCAAACCATGTAACTTGAAAAGGAAGTGAAGATTCCCCTGGACAGGTTACACATACTGTCATGCATCGCTTAATGATGGGGATACTGTATCCTCAGAAATGAATCATTAGGTGATTTTGTCACAAACATCATAGAGTGTACTTATACAAACCCAGATGGTATAACCTACTACACACCTAGGCTATATGGTATAGCCTATTGCTTGTGGGCTACAAACCTGTATAGCATGTTACTATGTGGTAGTGAATACTGTAGGCAATTGTAACACAATGGTAAGTATTTGTGTATCTAAACATAGAAAACACACAGTAAAAACATTATATAAAAGATACAAATAGTACACCTTAATAGGACACTTACCATGAATGGTGCTTGCAAGACTGAAAGTTGCTCTGGGTGAGTCACTGAGTGAGTGCTAGAATATTTTTGTACACTACTGTAAACTTTATAAACACTATATAATTAGGCTATACTACATTTATTTTTTAAATTTTATTCAGAACTAAATTAACCTTAGCTGACTGTAACTTTTTACTTTGTAAACTTTTTAATTTTTTTAAACTTTTTGGCTATTTTGCAATAACACTTAGCTTAAAACATAAGCACATTATACAGTTATACACAAATATTTTCTTCATTTGCTGATCCTATGAGCTTTCTTCTGTTCTTAAAATTTTTTACCTTTTTATTTTTTTTATTTTTTTTCTTAGAAATGAAAACACAAACACACTCATTAAACTAGGCCTGCACAGTGTCAGGATCATCAAGATGTCACTAGGTGATAGGATTTTTTCAGCTCTATTATTACCTTATGGGACCACCATTGTATCTGTGGTCTGTCATTGACCAAAGTGTCATTATGCAACACGTGACTGTATATCAAGAACATCTTATTTCCTTCTGTGGGTGCTATAATCTGTTCAGCCCAATCACACAAACTTTCTACTGCCTCAGTCAAGGGAAAGGCCTTCCAAAACACAAATGCCAAATTGATGATTAGTTCACTTTAGACTGTAATGACGTCATTTTTCAGGTGCTCTCAAGTAAACATGTTTAAAGCTTTCCCTGCCTTTTAGAGGGTCTTCCCTCTAAGGAATAATTTGTGTGGAGAAAACAACACAATCTATATCCCTGCTTCTTCATTTTATGAAATGACTTGATACAGTTGGCTGTGTCACTGAAATATTTGTCATGCTTGTTAAAGAAAAGTTACTTTGTCAATAAAGATAATAATGAAGCCAAAAAAATAACTTTGAGGGAACAGAACAAATTTGAGTGAAACTGGTTTCTTGGTATTGGCTTGTCATGTTTATCTCACCCATTTTCCTATTCAAGCTAAAGACCTCCCTTTCTTCAGCAAAGAGACTTTTCTACATTGGAATTAGTTGTTCAGGGACTGGGATAGTTCTTGTAAACAAGTAGGTCTGAACAGGAGAGCTGTCCACCATTCTAAGACTTCTTAGACACTTTTACATTCAGGGAAGAATTTTGAGCTCTCTTTTCAGATTAGAAAGAGTTGGGTCGCAAATGTTTGCCTGGCATTGGTCTCAAAGTCAGCAAAGTTTACTGTTGGTGGTTAGATACAATAGGTTCCTAGCATAACATAGAAACCTGTTATCTTGATGGAACCCAATATCTTCCTTATTTCATTGCTAACTACCTTTCATGTTTTTCATCTGATTTTATATCTTCTTCTCCTAACATAACACCTTGTAGATCTTATGTCCCACCCATTTCAAGCTACTTGCAGTTTCCCTTAAATGATATACCCTACTGGATGTGGTTTTGTCTCTTTCTGACATTTGCTAAAGTTTCATTCTCTTCTCACTCTAACTTCCTGGCCAAAACCTACATTTCTTCTCAGTCTCAGATTAAAAATCATCTCTTCTCTGTAATCTTATCAGAACTCCCATCCCTCCAACTCATCCGCTGGTATCCTCCTGGGCCCACATTCACCTCATCCTCCGTGCTCTTGCTGCACTCTATATCAGCCTCTCTCACATACAGCTCCTTTTGGTAGAATGGAGCCTTCATAGTCTCCCATCTACCTTCACAGTCTCCCATCTTCTGTAGATTGTGAGATCCTATAGAGCACAGCCTGCATCTTATTCATTGTTGTCATTCTGAAAACCTTGCATAGTGCCTAGCCTATGCAAGTAGGTGCTCAATAAATTGTTATAAGCATCACTATTTGATTTCCCTGGCTTTATTTTTAGCTCTGATTTCCAACCTGACACAAAGATGTAATAGAAGGGATTAGATACTAAAAAGCTATAAGAAAAAAAAAAGGACAAATCATAAAACACTAATGACATAGGAAGACTCAGGATAAATAAATAGCAACATGTACAGGCAAAGACCATCATGCATACTTCCAGTTCATGGGCATAAAAGCATTTAGTCTGAGAAAGTTGACTGTTGAATCATGATTGTTAAATCATTTTTATCTTATGAATTTAGAGAATCTAATGATATATATTTTACAGCAGTCAGTGTACCATGGCCTCAGTATTTCCATTTCTATGGAAAAAGAAATAACTATTGACTTTCCTCCATTTATTCAAAATGATAATTGCCCATGGTTGCTTTTCAGTCCAGATTAGGATCATTCCATTCAGTAGAAAAGGATGCTAATTTTAGAAAGTTAGACACACATAAAATTAATGGGAAAACTTATGCTGACCAAGCACTTTTCTGCCATGATCAACAGTTTTATAGCGAGATATATTTAGGGAAGATAAGGTGTTTCATTCCCTGGGGATCTTAAAGAAAAGCAAGCTGAGATTTTAATTTGCTTGAGATAATCATCTTAAAATCAGGGACTTTATCATAGGACCCTTCAAAGTCTCTTCTTAGGATTTATAATTATTTGTCTGTCTCTTCAAAGTATTATTTAGATCATGTCAAGTCATTGAAACTAATAGATGTAAAACTGAGGAATCATTCATATAGGCTTGGGAAATGATTGTAAATAGTGCTCCCAGATGTCACTGATAAAGTTGTCATAGTTGTCATAGCTGTTAACAGAATAGAAACTTTTTTAAAATATTTATTTATTTTTTTTTGCGACAGAGTCTCACTCTCTCGCCCAGGCTGGAGTGCAGTGGCACAATCTCAGCTCACTGCAACCTCCGCCTCCCGGGTTCAAGCGAATCTTCTGCCTCAGCCTCCCGAGTAGCTGGGACTACAAGCGTGCACCACCACGCCCAGCTAATTTTTGTATTTATAGTAGAGACAGGGTTTCACCATATTGACCAGGCTGGTCTCAAATTCCTTACCTTGTGATCCACCTGCCTGGGCCTCCCAAAGTGCTGGGATTACAGGCGTGAGCCACCGTCACCGGCCAAAAACTTTTTAACCTTGAACCCTCAGCTCAAGATCATGAACCCCTGAGGCAAAGGAGGAAAGTAGAGATTTTATGCCCTAAA